GAGAAATCAAATGCATTTCCTAGCTAAGCAATGATGGAGGGGGGGGGGAAAGGGGCTATTCTGAAGTTGTAAAACTTTTGTAAAACATTCTGTGCTAGAGGAACACAGGCAAGACCTGGAGCTACAGAAAGCAACCTCGCCCCTCCCTGTTCCCGATTATTTATATACACATTTCATCCATTCTTTTCCTGTTTTGCGAGACTGGATGTGTTTCTCTTTCCCCCTGAGAGGTCCACAGTTAGCAGGTACTGTTTGCAAAGCGACGGGAGCCGGCAGCCAGCGCGCAGGGCTTCACCTCAGCTCCCGCATTCCCCAGACGACCTTTGGGCAGCTTTTCTTCAGCCCCCGGAACACAGGAATGAAGACGAGTCACGCTCGTGATCTCTCTAGGCAGGCGTTGGCAACTGAACAAGAGCAGGCCACCTCTCTTGCAGGATTTCAGGGAGGCGTCTTTCTTGGCCCTACCTGGAGATGCTGCCAGGGATTGATCCGGCAACGTTCCACGTGCCAGAAAAGTCTTCCAATGAATTCTGACTGTTCCCAGAAGAATCTCTCCTAAAGCATCCTCCCCTCGTGGCCTTGCCATGCAGGAGCTCCAGAGCCCATCTTTGCCACTGGAGATTGGGTGCCCTCCATGGGGCACCTGCCCTACCTTCTACCTGGGCCTCCTGGTGTTCTGGAGGAGGAGGAGGAGGAGGAGGAGAGGACCACTCTGTCAAATCCTCTTTTCCTTTCTTGCCAACAAGAAATGGGTTGTCCATGGAGAGCATCTTATTTACTTATCACTTAAGTAATACTTACTTATTAACTTATTTTTAAAAATTACTTTAAAGAGCCTCGTGATGCAGTGGTTAAACTGCTGTACTGCAGCCTAAACTATGCTCACAACACAGGGTTCAATCCCAGGTAGCATTGACTCAGCCTTCTATCCTTCCCGAGGTCGGTAAAATGAGTACCCAGCTCTGGCCGCATCATGAGAAGGCAGAATTGTTTGGAAAAGACAATCTTGCTGGGAAAGGTGGAAGGCAGCAGGAAAAGAGGAAGACCACATACAAGACTGACTAACTGCCTAAAGGAAGCCACAGGCTTGAGTCTACAAGAGCAGAGGATAGTTGGAGATTGCTCATTCATGGGATCACCCTATGTTGGATCTCAAGACAATGACCCAAGAAAATGGCTCAAGGATGATCTCAACTAAATGACCCAAGAAAAGACTTGACGAACACATAACAACAACATCCTGCGTATGGAGTACAGTATTCAGTTTTGGGTACACTGACAAAACAGGGCACATCCAGAGAAAAGCAGCCAGAAGGGTGATGTGGGGTTTGGAAACCGAGCCCTGTTAAGTACAAAAAGTTGGTTATGTTTAGCTGGAGAAGAGGTCATTAAGAGGAGATAAGGAGAGCCACCTTCAAATGCCAGTGAGTGAGAGAACAGAGGAGGGTCGGTCTTTGTGGCTCCAGAGGGCAGAACGAGAAGCAGTGGGAGGAAAATGCAGGGAAAGTCGGCCGAAGACCGCCGGGTCTCCTAAAAGCAAGAGCTGTTCAGCCAGGGAGCTGGTGGGCTCTCCTTTGCTGGAAGCATCAACAGCGATGAGACAGCCCATCGGCATGTCGGGGTGCGATCCTGCACTGCAGAGAATGCCTTGAGCATTAAGTTGGTTTCCGAGGGCCCTTCCCCCGTAAGGATACTGGAATCTGAGTGAATACGTTAAAACCCCAGTGGGGTCGAGAGAATTTCCCAGGTTCAGAGCACACGAAACCATGAGGAGGGGGGAAGGTGAGCATAAAAATAATACCGAACTTGCCAAACTCTTGGGGTTTGGGGTTCTGCAACAGGAAAGGAGAAGCAAGAAGGTACCCCCCCTGTTTGCTCCAAGGAGCACTTCAGCCCCTTCACCCTGAACCTCACCCAGGACCCTCGGAGATCTTCCCACAAAGTGCCCCCAGACCCGCCGTGTCAAGGCCTGACCCATTCCCTAAGGAACCTTTGAAACAAAACCTGGGGTTCCTGGCAAAAAACGAGAAGGCAAGAAAACAGGCAAATCTGAGGGGCTGGAGGTTTTGCCAGCCAAGAAGCCAACTTGCTCGCCCAATTTGGGGGGACTCTGTTTCGGCGAGGTGGGCAGCATCCTTTGCTACTTTGCCTCAGGCAGCAAAATCCCTTCGGCCGGTTCTCGGAGCAGCACCACTCTCCTCCCCCCTTTGCTTGGCCCCTGGAGACAGGTCGGGAAGCTTCTGGTCTGCATGCCCTCACTGACCCCACGGTTATGCCAAGAAGTGACCGCAGACACACACACACACCCCGTCTGCCTTTTTGCCCCTCCAGTCAGCCTGGTGGCAAACAAGAGAGCCCAAGTTTTGTGTGAGGTCGGGATCCCCACCACCACCACCACCACCACCACCAAAGAAGAAGAAGAAGCAGGCAGGTCCTTTATTGTCCAGTTACCAGCAAGCCCTGACACTGAATTATTAAAAACTTTGAAGGGAGGACCATAAGAAAGGATAGTTTTTCACCTTTTTAAGCACCACGAAAAGGGATGCTCCTGACAGCTGAAAACCCATAGGCATTAATCATGTCAAGAGAGTCCGTGACTGCCCTGTACTTTTCTTGGGACTTGGTTTCAAACAGAACAAGGATACATCAATTTTCTCTCATTCCCGAGCGTTCACATGGCGGACTTGAGCTCCACAGTCTGGCCACAGAAGTCAACAGAGTCCGTGACTGCCCTGTACTTTTCTTGGGATTTGGTTTTCTCTCATTCCCGAGCTTTCACATGGCAGACTTGAGCTCCACAGTCTGGCCACAGAAGTATTATATAACTTGGCCTCTTTCTAGATCCCTGTCACAGATACACTGGACAGAATCTGAAGCGGACAAAGAACGAGGCTGGCCAAGAAAAACCCCTGGAGACGAAACTGGCTGCCCTCACTGGGGTCAAACTCAGGATGATGTAAAGGGAGGTTCTGCCGGGTTACAGCCCGGCCACAACAGCTTTCCACGGTTGGCCCAAACTACGCCCAAAATGTACTTCCTTGGTCAGAATCGAGGGCCGTCTTCAGCCTCAATACGTGACGTGGAGGTCTGGCATGCTGATAAGCATTAAATGTACGGCTCTCTGGATGTGGCTTGGATTGCAACTGACCTCAGCACTAGCCAGGATTGCCAACAGGAAGAGATGATGATGAGAGTTAGAAACCAACTGTACATGTGGGGATGGAGGGCGGGAATGCCTGAAGAGCCACATTCTCCATCCACAGGGTCTACACTGGCAGGATGGAAAGAGAACAGGAGGGCGGGAAGGCCTGAAGTGCTACATTCTCCATCCACAGGGTCTACACTGGCTGCAGAGTTGGGAAAATCTACTGTACTTCCTAAAAACTGTAACTCCCAGAATACTCCAAGATAGTCAGGAAGTTGGCGATTGGAGAAAGGAAATTTTCCTTTCTGTTTGACAATCGTCACTTGACTGCGACTCTGCGCCTGTCCCTCAAGAAGAGCTGGGACACGGAGCCTTCTCTAAGCCTCTTTGCAAATCAACCCTGCAAACTTCTGCTTGGCTATAGAGATGGAGGGACCTGGTTATCTCTGTCTCTCATGTTCCCAGCCTGCAATGGCTTCCACGTCATCTTCGCATCCCTTTGCTAATGCTTAAAAACAAAAAAGGTTGAAAAAGCCTGTTTTATGTATTTTCATATGCATCCCACCTAAATTTTCATTCACAAATTTGCCCGACACACCATTACGTATTAATCTATGTATTTATTTCTGCAGGCAGTTTCCCTTATGAAATGTTTTTGGGCACTTTCCCCCCACAAATACAAAGATAAATAACATGCACATTTCTGTAGGCACATTTTATTATTTAGGGAACCATATCATAAAGGTCTGGAAAGTGGAAATCCTGAAAATGAATCACATTCCAGCTCTGTTATTTATTGTGCAATTCAATGAGTTCTTATCAAAATGCAAACTAAATAATTTTTAATATATCGTGATGACTGAACTGTTTTGTAGATGTAATTGACTTTAATGATTTTTAATGATCATGTTTGCTTTTATTTGATTTTAATGACTGTAGTTGTACTTCTTTTTCCTTGCTGTTTTACTACGTTTTATGAATGCAAGCTGCCTTAAGCACTACTTATTAAGAGAAAGTGAGGAAAGAAATGCAGTTCATAATGACGGTAATGCTGATAATGATGACAACGAAAAAGACAACTGGAATTCTCACTCATTCCTTTGAAGTTCTAATCAAAAGTTATCTTAAAGAGGACAGACTCTCCCGTAAATATGCATTGACTTGTATAATGCAAAATGAATAACAAGAAATGCCAGTAGAATCATTTAGTACAGTGTCAAGTATCACGTTGTAGGATTTTAGGAGATGTTTCTCTCTCACACTGCATGCTTTTATTTATCCCATTTTGCCTCAGAAGAAAAGTCTTTCTAGCATCAATGAAAGTATGGGTGTGATCACATAGGAAAAGAGACCACATCTGCTACTCTGGAGCAGTCCCATGTAATCCATTTCCTGGTGATCACACGACATACGGGGCGTTACGCTCCAGCTCAACAGAAATCCATGACCCTTTTGGTCCAGCTATAGAGGGACAACGTCTTGGGGTTTGGATGGAATGAATTCTCCAACAGACAGAATCACTACTTGAAAGGAGATCGCTCCCATTCAAGGGGCCCTTTCCCAATGAGACTGGATGCATGTCTTTCCCACTGTCTGATTGCACCCTATGTTCTTTTTAAAGTCCACCATTCACTGGGGGGGGGAAGCTTGCTTTTTAAGGGGTTGTTCAGCCAACAAAGGAGACTTGTTTATAAAACCACAGGCTTTTCAAATAGAGCTAGATATGAAAACATAGCATGAACTGCTCTGGGCAACTCATGCATTGAAGTGAATTCCGACTTTTGCAGCCACCAAATCCGGAGGCCTTACCCTGGATGTTCATTCAGAGGATGGACTTCCGAAGCAAGTAACTTACACAGTGAGTGCTGGAGATGATGACGGAGCTGGAGATGAAACTGAGACCGTCGTTCATGCTGACTTGAAGAGCGGCTTCCCTAGAAAGTGGAAAGGGGAGGTGGGAGGTCATTGCTCAAGTTTAAGACAGACCCACAGTCACCTTAACTCCATTTTTACATGTACACAACTGCATGACCACCTGGGCTTGGAGACCTTCATACAGCAAGGCTACCGTGTCGATCAAGTACACACCCTTAATATTTTTAGTGCACGAAATTTAAATATACACTGTAAGATGAAACAGGTGATGCTCAAGGAAGGGCACGCCCTTTGCCTAGGGAAGGTCATTGCAGGTAATTTCAGAAAGAGGACAATCTGTACAAAGGCCCAGGGTGCATCGATAGCCACCTTTTCCAGACTTTAGAAATGGAGATCTCTTTCGGGGAATTGGGGAACTCTTATGTTTTTTTGTATGACTTGCAAGCCAATACTATAGATTAATTTAAAGAACAGAGTGAGTCAAGTACAGTTGAAACTACAGAGGCATTTCAACCAACTCAAACCACAAAATGGTGAAAAAAATATGTAAGGAAAAGGCTGTTAAAAGACCTACCACAAAACTACTGCGAGAACAGACAAAACCAGAATTAATGCATCATGTTGAGGCAGCAAAACAGAAGTAATCAGGAGCAGAGACAAGATGTTGCTGATAACAAAGCCTACCTACATCGTAAGAAACTTACATGCCAACTTCTTGTAAAACTGGCGCAGGGCAGAGCAGGTAAGTGTCTTCTACGACAAACGGCTTCTCATCTGGAAAGCGAAGCAGAGGTTAAGTTAATGTAGTATGATGGACAGAGTGATGGCCTAGGACTCTGGAGAACAGGGTTCAAATCCCCACTAAGCCATGGAAACTCACTGCGGGCATGGAACTGGCAAAGCCTTAAATATCTCACCTTAAAAAACCCGTCAAGGTCACTGTAAGTCAGTTCTGACTTGACCCCCGTCAAGGTCACTGTAAGTGTAAGACTTGACGGCACATCGCAGCAACAACAACAAAGTGCTTCCTGGTGTCAGTTATGACATTGGCAGCTTTATATATAAATTTTGTGCACATCATCTGCATAACTTCTCATTGCCGTTTACAGCCAAAGAAAACAGGAATTAATCAAAGTAATAACAATCTGAAAATAATGCATCCATCGATAAAACATGGAAAAGCATTAGTCCAATGCAACTGGCCAGCAGAAATAAATTTTTATTTTTTAAAAAGTTTTTGTATGAAACCCTCCTTCAGCATGGCTTGACATACAAATAAAGCAAAGTGAGGTTTGTTCTCATTCAGTTACAATTACAGTGGAATGCAGTTACATCTTGTGACTGGCAAAAAGGAATAAATTACAAGTAACCAGTTATTTCAAAAGTTCTGGAACTTTCCATCCATTACTCATTCCCCTTGTTGAAGGCCTGTACGTTCAATAGATGGTCCTGAACATAGATTCTAGTGGTTATACCCGGGGACTTCACAGTCCATAATGAGTGAGTGTCTTCCACCCCATGCAGTCACAAGCTGTCTTGCTTTTACACTCCTGTTCCTGAAAAGCATGGCTTGAAGTGGCAGACTTCAAGCTTGTAAGTCTACAGAATTAGATTTTTATCACCAATGCAAATTTCACATTATTACCCTAAAGGGAAACACAGCATATTCACTTGAACCATTTCTGTTCCTCAATGCTGACACATTAGCAGCTCTGCATTAAACATTATTTCACCGTCACATCAACACAAACACACCCCAGCAACAGAAACTGAGATTTGGGGAACCGGCTTCTAAAGCTGTGATCGCCCAGGGCCAGCACTGCATCCTCCTTTGAAAATGCCCTGTAATTAAAGCAATCTAAGCCTTGGGACAGCTGGCGGGGCTCTGCTAGACCACTCTGGCTTGAGCATCTCGTAGAAACCACGTTAGGGTTCTGGAATGACATGCATTTCCTTAGATTTCGCCCGATGGAAAACGCTGCAAGAATTACCTCTCCAATCGCCAAGACACAACTTCTTTCATCAGTTCCAGTCTTGGCTAATACAAAAATGGGTCAGCACCACACACACACACCCTACTTAAGTGGTCTTGAAGGACAGCTTGGGAGCCATGATTATCACAGCAGGATTCTTTCCTTCCCAGGACGAACCTCAGACATGCCACATAAAGAATGTCTGCACTCCAGTGGTTCACAGAAAGACAGAATCCTGGGAGTGGAAGGGAGTGAAGAGGTCATCCAGCCCACCCCCCTGCCTAAACAGGAAACCCCACCTAATGCATCTATGGGCAGATGATCCTCTTACTGTTTAAACACCTCCAGGGCGGAGAATCCACCACCCTATGATGCTGTTCATCTCATGGAAGTTCTTCCTAATGTTGAGTCAAAATGTCACTTCCTGTAATGCAAATCTGTGACTTCGAGTTCTACCCTCCGAAGCAGCAGAAAACAAGCCTGCTCCATTTTTTTTATTGGATTTCTATTCCGCCCATCTCGATCAAAGGTCTACTCTGAGCAGTTTACAAATTCAAAAAGAGTAAAACCAATAAACATGTATTATAGATCCAAGGTGACAAAAGTATAAGAAGTTAAGAAACCATTTCCATCTTCACCATGACAGTCTTTCAGATGTTTGGAGACTCTCTGTCTTCTCTTTTCCCAATTATGCATGCCCCACCATTATTCACCAGGTATGGTGTCAAACTCCTTTTTCTTTCTGATCATTCTCCTCTGGACATGCAGCGAGGAGATGTTCCTACAGTACATCTGAAGACCCCCTGGGGGTATATCTCACAGCATTTCAACAACAAGAGCATAATTGCCTTCTACTAACATCCTCATTTCCCAGGACCTCAAACCCAGTGAGATACTGTTCCAGTTCTTTTCAGGCATATGTCTCCCTCTTCTTATGGTCCCCACATTTCCTACAGGATTATTCCAGATCATCCTTCGAGTTTTTCCCAACCTTAGGTCCCCCCAGATGTTCTTGGACTAAAACGCCCAGAAGCCTTTGCTATTAGCTGTGCTGGCCAGGATTTCTGGAAGTTGTAGTCCAAAAACATCTGGTGACCCAGGGTTGGGAAGCCCTGTTCTAGAGGTACAGCAGAAGGGCCACATCAAGAGTTCCATCCTGAACAGCACCTGAAACACAACATCTCAGTGCAAAGATGTTGTTGGATTGCCATTGAATTAAGACAAATGCCACACAACTATCTCAGGCTGGGTGGAAGGATCACAGCATATTTCCTAACCTTGGGGCCTTGCTGATCTCAGTTGCTTTTTTAAAAAAGACAATCCAGAAGAGGCAGCCTTAATCCCACTTCAGTCCCGAAATCTGCTTTCTATTTCCTCTGAGTTAGCCCAACACTGTCCTGCTTTGGAGCCACTGTTTGCCTTACTCAACAGAGTGATTATGCAGGAATCCAAAATGCCATGGAGTAAACAGGGCTGGATGGAGACCAGCTGGGCCTGGGGTCAGGACTAGCTTACCGATTCAGCTCCTAGCCTTGGTATCCAAATTCTAGCCGAATAACCCCAGACTCTGCAATGTCAGGAAAAACCCACAGCGTGACCTCCCATCCGGTAACGACGTCTGCAGCAGTCATTTCAATTTCCCTTGTCTGGAGTAGCTGTCTGCGGATAGTTGTGAATAATAGCACTGCTTAACCCAGTGTGTAAATGAGATACTAGTCCAAAGGGTTTTCATTTGTTATTTTGTCCTGTTCCTCTTAGCTACCCTTTTTTGGCAAAAAAAAGGAGGAGGGGAACACATCAGAGGTAGCCTTGTTGGATGTAGGATGCTAGGCATGATCGGGAGCAAGAGTCTAAGAATACTTGTAGGTGTGACTTAGGGCATACAGGACACAATACAAGAGTGTTCAAAGCAATTTGTAAACGTTGGTGATCACTCCAATACTAAGAGGCAAATCAAGATTTCTTACAGCACAGGAAGTACAGGGATGACTCAAGAGTGAGCAGCTTCCACAGGTCTACCAGGGAAGGCTTGGGATATGGACATGACTGCGGTCATCATGACTTCACCTGTGCTTTCATTTTGACCACAAATGGTCAGCTAAGAGGGCCTTGCAATGTACCCTGATGGCTCCAAGGTGGGATGTATGTGTGCGTGAACCCACGTAAGAAGTTTCACAGCGCTAGATCCGTCTTGGGGGGTTGGACTCCACATCTTGGATAGCTTCTGAAAAGTTCAAACTGAAACCTACAGTAAGTTCACCTCCGCATACCAACAGCGGGGTCTCTAGAGTTTTCTGCAGAGATTTCTTTTCCATCAAGTTCACTTCTTCTAGACAGCAACTCTCTCCAAACTGAAGTCAGCCAAAGGGGCCAGAGTACAACCCCCATCAGCACAGCCAAGGGAAACGGATGGGAGCTGTGGTTCATTTGGCCAGCATGGCGTTAGTCAAGGCTGCTCCACAGAATGCAAGCAAGCTTCTTGACTCCCAAGTCTCAAGTGGTAGATGTCTTTGTTGATTCCACAGCCTCCCGAGTCTGTTTGGTTCTTATTTCTCCATGGAGTGACTCAAGCTCTTGTGTTTCCACTTTCTGAGAATATTTCGCAAGACGGCTGTTTGTCTTCCCTGCATTAAATCTGATTTCCTTCCTTCTCTTCTCTTCCTTTCCTTTCCCTCCCCTCCCCTCCTTGGCAGCCCCAACAGGGACACAGGTGGAGCTCAAGGGCAGTGGGCAAGGAAGAGCAGAGCAGAGGAAGATACCAGAATAATTTTCCGTGGTCAAATGATTTTGTTTCATCACAAACTGCCTTCTGTTTTGTTTTCTTTTGTTTCTTCATTGCTACAAACAAAAGATTAGTCCGCACAATTCCAACTGACCCTTTCCTGGAAAATGATGTTGTGCAACAAAAACAGGCATCGGACATGGGGATGACAAACTCTGACCTATGGTGAACTCTGGGGAGGCCATCGACAGATTATGTCTTAAAAACTGCTGGGGAGTGCACTTACTCACAGCTCTATGGGGTACACTGCCTGGCACCATCTCTTTGCCGAGGTAAATCTGTCAAAGGCAGTCCAGAGCCAAAAATACTTTGTCTTCTTAGATCTGGGAGAACCCTCCACGGACAACCTTCTCTAGAATCTTTGGGTTGTATCTCTTTTTTCTTTCCACATTTCTGTCCACAGGGTTCTTCCCCCAATTTAAAAATACTGTACTCGGCAGGATGTGACCATCCGGAAGCTCTACAGTTCTATAGGGCTCCAGGATCTGGGCCAAGAGTCAAAGAGTTTGGCTTGAGAAGGAGGTCATGGCAGAGAAGATTGTGCTTGAATCTTTGTTTCCACCCATTTCCTTTTTCCACGGGAACTTCAGTCTCCAATCTAAGGCAGGTGGCCCATGGAAGGATCGCTTCAAAAATCTTCACAGCATCCCAAAACTTTTGCATTTCCAAGAGGAGACGTTTTTGAATCTCTCATTTGTTGAGGCAGTGTGGAATATCTCCTCTGACAAAATAGCCTCTTTCAAAAAAACAAGCCCCCTCGCCCCCCAAAAAAACCTTGCTTTTTTGGAGAAGCAAGAATGCACAGAGAGAGAAAGATTGGCGCTTTCTCCAAGCCGGAAAAATTCGCCCGCTCAAGAGCCCAACAAATGAGCTACGAAATGTTTTGCTAATGCTGTAATGAAAACCATGCCGGGACATCCTTGCCATAACATCCTTGGCTGTCTGTAGCACCGACATCGTATACACTCTGGCAGCCAAAAAATCCTTACAGTAAGGTTTGCTGGATACTGGTGGGAGTG